TTTTCGAAAAATGATCTACTCTATGCAACTTTACAGAAATTCGTTAAATTAGATAAAGTTTAACAAAAGGATTTTATTATCATAGACATGAATACAAATATTTCATTTTACCTTATTACTACGAAGATTATTATAGAATTTCATTAATTGTAATAGAATTATTACTATCATTGAAAAACGTGACGATTTGCTACAAAATTTCTCCCATACGTCGATAAAGAAGTTTTATTCCAACGCCGATAAAGAAGTTTGACTTCAAAAAGCAACATGGCGCGTAACCGAAAAATGTGACGCGTAACGAAAAAATGTTACACTAAATTTTTTTCCAACCTCGATAAAGAAGTTTCACTTCAAAAATGAAACATAAGGTGATGGGGGCAAAGTGCGCCATACTTTTTTCATAGTTGACTTTGGTGCAATATTACTTGTGCTTAAGTTCACGAGTGACACTAAATCATGGTACCATAAGGATCTGTGATGTTTTGCAACAACAACTAATGTCGTGTCATTAGAATCTGACGGCAAATTAACGAATTTCAGCATAAAATCTGAAAACAGTCTGACCCGGCGCACTTTGCCGACAAATCGGGTAAGTGCGCCTTGTATTAATAAAACGCAATAATAAAGCATCAGAATAAAAACAGCCCTATATTATTTTAAGAAAACAAGCAACAAAACGCATGCCATTTTTTATTTTTTCATAGCCACATTCTAGAAGAATCTATGTATTTAAAACCAAATTTCGGCTAAATGCGCCATACAATCTTAAGTCAGAGGCTATGAACCTTTTTTCTAAATATTGATAATCGAGTGTCAAGTATATTTTTCTTTTATTTACGATGGGAATACCATGGTTTGGAACTATTTCTTTGGTATAAATATTATAAAGGGACTGAAATAAGAAGTTAGTCATTGAAATTAGTTATTAAGTGTAATATTTATTATAAATTCTTAACAAAACTAGGTAACGAAAAGAAAATCAATGAGAAACATCTTCTAAAATATATTAGTTGTAATTATTCAAAAACATTAATCAAGCAAGGCTTGTTACCCTTACAACTTAATAACTAAAGAGAAGGAGATCGACTTTCCAGAGGATGATGTAGTCCGAGTCGATGGAAATCCCCTAAGACCTATGACTTTGGTTTTTGTGGATCACTGCAGTAACTGAAGCCCTAAGTCGGCAATCACTCTGTCTAAAATATCATAAAATTCTTGAATGACAAATGGGTCTGCGGCAGTCTTAAGAGCAATCTCTACAGCCTGCGGTTTTTTAATTTATAACTTATAATGCTTTTTGACGCTTGAAAACCAATCTTTGCCGGGAGTACCATCGTTGAAAGGTGTTTTTAGATCGTTCTGCTTGACATGTCCCTTAACAATATCTAGAAACTCTGTACGAGTCAGGCCGAAGCCATTTTTTTTCAATTATATGCAAACATTTTGCCATCATTTTTTCTGTCTCATATTGAAATACTGGTGGTCTGCCTAGACTTAATGATTTTTGGCCCCTTCGACCTGTGACGTGGTCCATAATAAGTTTTCTTGGGATAGCAAAGGTTGATGCGGCTGCATACCCAGACATTCTATCCGATCGAACAGCTTCGACTGCTTCATTCAAAGCCTCTCTGGACCATGAAGGACTGTCAGTTTTTCTTTCATAGTGCCCCATCTTAAACAAAAATCATAAATAATAATGATTTAATAATTGTGACTTTTACTAGTCTATTGTAGACACATTTTAAAAAGTTTGTAACCTCTGGATTGCGGCGAAGTGCGCCATATAATAAGTCAGTATGGCGCGCTTCCCCAACTATATAAATTTGAGGTTTGAATATTTAACTTGCAAGAAATATATAAATTTTACTAGATAGGAGTGAAATAAAGTCAGAATCTAAAAGCAAAATATTTAAATTGTGCACTTACCTCACTCGAATATCGGTAAAAACTCGATTTCTTGAGATTTACGACGATGATCACGCCATAGTCATCTCTCCTCACCACTTTGAATATCAGTGAAAATAAAATGGCTCGTGTCTCAAACTCACATGACTAGAGCTATATATGAGTTTCACAAAGAACTATGATTTAGTTTGTAGCATCGATATAAGGTGTCACTACTAGTATTAAATCGGTAGTTTTCGAGATATTTGTGGTAGGTGCACTTGCCCGGTAGGCGCACTTTGCCACCGTCACCTTATGACATCAAAAATATTTCTTTAAAAATAATATGCCTTAGTCAGACACAGCTAAATTCACATTATTATTGTCACTCTACTCATCCATTGTACTTGTTTGATTAAAATTTGGAAAACACCCTCAAAGTTGTGTTGACCCTGACAGTTTGAACAGTTTTGTTTCGACTTTAAGATTGGCAGAAAGTGGAACTAAATTTAAATGAACAGTCAACAGGCTAGGTAAGTAATGAATCATCAATCCAAGTCTATGGCCTAGCAGTTTGATCAACTGGTTGAATATATTTCAGGCCGCTAGTTAAACGGCGCTGTTTAGTTAAGAGGCTGTTAATTGAACGGCTTATTAATCTAGTTGGCTGCGACATATATATACTTAATATACACAACTTATTTCATTAAACAAATTAAGTAAAACTCAAAAATTTTGCTTTTTACGCCATTCACTATTGCAACAGTCTTTGTCACGTCCTTCCGAAGTCATAAAAAATAGCACGATTTTCTCCAATCTCAACCGTGTGTACATACAATAAGGTTCTTTTTGCTAAAGCAAGAGCCAATTAAGAGATTACGCGGATTAACCACGGCCGTTCAGCTCGAGAATAAGACGTTTTTTGATACTTTAATCTCCCACAGAATTAAATAGAGCTAAAATGAGTTACTAACCACAAATAAACAAAAAAAATAAACCAGTAAGTTTATATGAATACATCTTTAAAAAACATAAGTGACGCTACAACCTTTTTAGGTCTGGGCCTCAGATTTCTGTATGTTTCAAAATCGTTTGTCAATCCAATAGACAAGTAAGTGATCAGCCTCCTGTGCCTGACACGTCGTCGACTTTCTGGGTCAAAGGCAAGCCGGTTTCCTCTCGATGTTTTCCTTCACCACAAAGAAAGTACATTGGTAGCCGAGACTCGAACATGCGACCTCAGGGATGAGAGTCGCACGCTGAACCCTGATAAATATATCGAATTCTTTTTCAAAAATTCCAATTATTTATTCTATAAATTAATGGCGCAAAAACCATGGGCTAATTTTTATATCTATTTTCTTGATAGCTTTTTATTGGCCTATTACAATGAGCTTTGTATGCGATTGCTCCTTGCTATGTTTCCTTTAGTATATATGTATACTAGCCGTTTCCCGCCCGCTTTGCTGGGCGAATTAAAATGGGAAATAAATAAAATTCTATGTTTCATTATTATTATTTTTTTCATATTTTTACTATTTTTCTCTTTAACTTCCCGCCAAGAAATTTGAAAATTTTCGAAAATCGAGTTTTTAACAGAAGTTGGTTGACGTTTTGAGGTTCTAGGAAGCCTCCCCGAATGTTTCCGCGGTGAAGTCCGTATGTATAAGTTTTCATAAAAGTAAAACAGCAATAAAAAATTAAGGAACGTTGGAATTTAGCCATAACCCATCTAGGAAAAATTTCGCATCGAATGGCAGTAGTTTCATGTCGATACGATCAGAGCATTTTTCTTATTTATATAAAGATTAATTGCGTAAAGAATTTGGTGTCAGTATGACTAGAAACCTAGAGTAGGATTTCTTTATAAATCATAGTATATCTCTCTGATTTGATACCGCATACGTCAAGATCGTGAGTACGTACTTTCTGCGTAACACACAGGCACAGGGACTTCGTTGAAAGAATGTTTTTCTATTTAACAGTCGTCCCTAAGTTTGTTAGCATTTAAGAGAAAACGAAAGCTGGAATACTTGTTAGACGGGATCTAAAGGTCAAATGTCAAAGGAGGCTTTGGTATCCAAGAATATTTCCTTCAGTTTATTAAAACATGAGCTGTATTTAAAATAATTTTTATTAATAACTTGACCTTTTAAATTTAAAAAAAATTGTGTTTACGCTGTAATGAAAAGAGACAAAACGACGCAATAAAACTGTTTTATTTCTTATGAAAATGTTAGTATGTTACAAATAAGTGTAGTAATCATATCTGTAGTCTGATTTTACATGTTAAATTTACCTGTGTCCATGACAAATTTAACGACATATTATATAAAACTTTTGAAATATGGAATGTTTTTCACACACAAATATACACTCTTAACCTACTTAGTAATAATAATATAAATATTTAATTTAATTTAAACAAAAACACTTATTTAGTTGGAAGGTACGAAATAGAACGATTACTAAGAAAAAGATATCTACGGAAACGGAAACTCAACAAATTAGCTGTCAATTGTCTTCGATAAGATCATGTTTTTCCAATCACTTAAGTTCTTACGATTGTTGATAAAAATGTCTACTTTTATCTATTATATAATACACATGTTTTCTAATATTATTTTGTTGTATTTATTTAGACTTCCTATATATATTTAAATGGATAAGTTAAGCTTTAGCTTAACTTAGACATCTTAAAAAACCTTAGAACCAAAAAGTCGTCGGCGTGTGATAGGCACAGTCGGCTGATCACTTGCCTATTAGAAAAAACAAATGATCACGATACAGATAAAGAAATCTGAGGCCCAGAGCTAAAAGTTTGTAGCGTCATGTATAAAAAGTGGAGTTACAATTATACCATCAAATCCTGCTTTTACATTTTATCATGCCGTGGTTACGGAATCAACTAATAGACAGTTAAAAATATTAATAATGATGTTTTGTTTTGCGATATTTATTTCCGTTATTCAATTCTAACTAACTATCTCTTCTTTTGTATGACACAAACACATAGAAGAAAAGATTGTTAAAAAGATAGAAACTACATTTCTCTTCTACATTCACTAGTCATACCTACCTTTATAGTTAACACTTAACACTATTTAATTTTTCAGCGAGATGAAGAAAAGGCGAACTTGATCGCTGAACTCACAGCTCAAAACTCGCGGCTCACAGCTCAGCTGAAGGAGTCTTCGGCGACGGAAGCCCAGTTGCTGGCTCAACTCGACGGCCTTAAAGACCAGTGCTCCATACGGATGACCAGTTTAAAGGTAGGTTCAGTGTAATTGAGTAATAATAAGCAAATATAAATGATATTTTTTTCACTCTAGTGCATCTTTTATTTATTCTTTAGGTACGAGTATATGGAAAACTATCACTGTAAACACTCTCACTCACTCACTCACTCACTCTGGGCTCTGCGACCCAAAAAGTGTCATGACCTGCCAAATGAGAATCTTCCAGCGCTCCCTGTCCTGTTCTACCTTCCGCCAATTGCTGGCTTTCAGCTGCAGCAGATCCTCCTCTACTCTGTCTATCCAGCAGTCACTCAGTCATTATTCTCCTTCCATGGCCCATCCGCTCAAGGTGCCACAGCCAACGATGTCCCTATAATGTTAATTTTGTAAACAAATATCTTATTTCCCATTAATCTGGGAAAAACAAAAAAATATCCTTCTTTTTTTTTCCTATTATATGGAAACGCTGTCAGTATCTTCGGAACCTTGCCTAAAGGGACTCCTTTTAATAATATATTTTAGGGTTAGAATGTTTAATAAATGACACGTTAATCAAAGATGTAATATTTCTATATAAGTTTTCATATATGATAACCGTATAATTATCTACTATTCGTGAGCAATTTTTAAAATCGCAATGTTAAAATTGATCTTTCCCTCGAAACTCTTCTCGGAAATATGTTAAACATACAAAAATCATTAAATTTATTAACGTCTAAATACTAATCTGACTTAACTTGTAGGACCACGTCTCAAGTTTGGCATCCTTGAAGTCCGAACTGGCATTAGTTACTGACAAGAAACTGGACCTAGAGAAACGTCTCACCGGTTCCTTACGGGATAAAGACAATCTCTCCCAACAGCTGGAGGAAGCCAATGACAGGATTGCTGCTCTTGAGCGGCAGATGAAAGAACAGGTATATATATAAACACTTATATCTTAAATGGCCTGAAATACTCATTCCTTTTGACATTTGTGACAGGTCTGTAATAGGTCTTAATAGGTGCTATGGTAACAGCCCTTGCGCATCCCCTGCCCCGGAAAGTTAGCAGGGGTATGTGGGACTCGACCCACGCCAGTAACTCTGCTATTAAGAGACTGGGTGAGCAATACCCACCAAGAGTATTTCCTATAAAGCCGCGTTACAGAGGCTCCGGAGTCACTCTGACATTCTACCGGGGCCTCAACGGCATAACTGTTACGCTCGAAATCTCCGGTCCAGTATACTAAATAGGAGGTAGGAGATGGGCATATCTTCTACATACTTTGCGTCTTCGAACCCTAGGATTATGGTAACAGCCTTAGAAGAAGAGAAATTAATATCTATATTAGGATTTGCATATGTCGGAAATTGTATTCTATGCTAACGATAGTTTTAACTAAGAACATTATATTACATATAAACAAAACAAGAAAACTTAAACCATTATAAAATTTAGAATAATGCAATCCTTGTGAATTCAGCCAGTGTGCAACTATGATAAAATGATTATATAAATGGCGCTTCCCTGAGTAAATTTGTACGCGCTCGCGACACTGCTAGCAATTACTACCGCTTACCAAACCCAATGTTTTTGGAAGCCCCAGTCTCTCCAACATCTCCTGCATTATATACCCTACCTCTAAGGACATTATAAAAATATAGTGTGAGAGCAAAGACATGAATAGATCTTTAAAGAATCTGAATGAGTGTGGAAAGAAAACCGTTGTGGTGTTTGGGGCCGCAGCAGTGCTTCCTTTTTTCACCTGTTGACATATAGTTAACATACATATAGTTCGACAATCATCTCAAAACTGAATATGAGTTAACGTGTAGCAAATAAAATAATATTAAATTATTATCTTTAATAATAAATTAGTTCTCATAGGTGATACGCAAGTTCTTTCTGCACATTTATGCAGAGACTCGGAAAATGCGGTGACGAAAACATAATATCTTTTCCCCCGTGCATTTTCTGAATTTCCTTACACCGAATTACTTCTCAGGAACATCTCTACCAGAACACATTGAAGGACCTTGAACGTCTTCAGCGATCACATGATACGCTGGCAGAGCGAGTCGGTGCACCGGAACCCGTCAAAACAACGAAAGTTGCAAGGCAAGTCATATGTCTAACCCAGTACCAGACCAGACCTGGCGCTTTTCCCTCTCAGTTGAATTTTTATAAACAGGTCATTTACTCATGCGTGAACAATTTAAATCAAGACTATATTTATTATAATAGTTTTTTATATTGATTTTGAGTTTCGTGATAATATTTTTCTTCATTAACAAGTAGGTAGCCAAAAAAATTAATCAGTGCACAGCCGTGATTCGAACGCACCATCTCTGGGTTGAGAGCATGTTTAATTCATTAAACCGACATATTTCAAATCACTCATAATTGAATCATTTTACATTTTCAAAACAAACTAAAATGAAAATATATATTTTAAAACAAGTATTAAAGCAGAGTTGTTTTGTCTCCAGGTCTCTCCATTCAGAAATGGAGACAGAACCTGAAGAGCAGGACGACAGCTGGCTACGCACCGAAGCAGTGCAGGTGTTCAAACAACTCAGGTCACTGGCTCTTCAACTTAATACAGGACACGACGATGATTCTGGTAAGTCTAGATTCACATATAAAGGTGCGCTTACACGGGCAACTAAAATTGCTCAATTCCAGTCAATACTCGTCAACTATGACGTCACGACTACATCAAGCAATTTACGGCAACGGCAACAAGCATCAATACTGAGCAATACAATATTGAGCGATATGGCGAAACAACAAAACAAAAACAAAAAAAGAAAGAAAAGGAATAGGCGTATCTGGGTGCGATCGTTTTTGGCCACAATTTTCATTGTGTAAAGAATCAGATAATATATTATTCAAAAACTTTACTAGAATGTCACGAACAGACTTTGAATTACTTTTGAATAAAGTAATTAGAAATTATTATTATTTAGACCTCTCGCTCTCCCCGCGGAAGCAAGACGGCAAGCCGCAAAACAAACAAGTGCGAATGAGATATATACAAAAATTGCTAGGAATTTCCAAGTCCATTGGATATTCGTCAATTCGTATCTGCGACATTGAGCGATATGAAAGCAATTAGAAGCAATATCGCCGAAATAATTTATTGAAATTTATTGAATTTATGAAATTGCTCCATTAATTGCTCCAGATCGGTCCATTGGTGTCGCCGAGCAATTATTGCCCTCGTGTAAGCGCACCTTTAGGAAAGCATATAAACCTGTTCCTTAATTTTATGGAGATACATCTTCATATGTGATATTTTTATACGTATTTATCTATTGAAAAAGAAATAAAAATAGACATAACATTTATTACTAACAAAAACACACAAAATAACAATAATCGAATAAGAAAAAAAATCCTATTTCCCATTCGGTTCGTTTCTAGCGTGTAATGCGTGTGTGCTGTGGCTGTAATTGGCCCTGGCTCAGCATTATGCTGAGGAGCAGAATGTTCCACAGCGCTGGTCATTCTGCCAGAGACCACAGCAGCTAGTATGCGCCTCAGTCGCAAAGAAAGAAACTTAGTAAAAAAAAATAAGAATAATTGTTTTGGGCGGATTAAAAACTAGATTTCGTGGGATTTTTGTTGATAAATAGCAGGGAAACATTGGATAAAAGTAGCGAAGATTAGAAAGAAGTGGAAGGAGAGAAGAGGCCTTCACTCTTTCAGAAGTCTATGTAACTTAAAGTAAAAAAAATCAAAATTATTTATTATTATAGGTAACACAATGTACACTTATGAACGTCAAAAAAGAAATATATTAAATGCTTCTGATTTTACATTTACTGCCAGTTCACAAATCAAGGTCGAGAAGAGAAGAACTGGAAATAGACTCTCTGCCACTCTTTTTAATCGCCAAGTTTTATAGTACTCGAATAAGGGCTATTTTTATTTTTTTTATTAATAAATCTAATATTTGATAGCGTCAATTAACTGTTAACATTTGTGAGTCATCAGCTAAATGCTAAATGTTTTTTTGTGAACCTTTTCGCAGAACTTGACAAAAAGAACTAGCAGTTTTTAATAGTAATTAGTGCGTTCGTATGGGCAGTGTTGGTCTAGTGGTTTTAGCGTGTGACTCTTATCCTTGAGGTCGTAGGTACGATGCCTGGCTGTGCAACAATGGACTTTCTATGTGCGCATTTATCGCTCGAACGGTGAAGGAAAACATCGTGAGGAAACCGGCTTACCTTAGACCTAGGCACAGGAGGCTTATCATTGCCAATTAGATATACAAACTATGATCAACAACCTACAAAATATGATCATGAAACAGATACAGACACATACAGATATCTGAGGCTAAACTACTAAAGACTATCTTCCTAATTCATTGTTAAAACTAAATTACTCACCTGTCTCTTTTCCTCACAGCGTAAACGTAATCTGTCAGAAAGAGACCAGACAGTACTTAATTGAAGTGGTTTATTTCTACAAGATACCAAAAGGTATACAAAATTAACTCCACAAAGTATTATAAGCAAAAAATGCAAACAACGCTTGTATATAGGATTGTATTTAATGTTTAAAATCACGAAGGTATGACCTACAATGGAACACGCTATCCACGTTACAGTGGAAATGTAAATATTTTCTTTGATTTGTAAACGACCATTAGGTTTTCAGTTAATATTTAATTGCATATGTATGTCTTCTTTCATACATGGATTATGTTTTTGGCAAATAGCCCTTTGACTATTTCAGCTATGCTTTATCTTCTTCCAGTTCACGGACTTAATAGGATTATTTCCCCAACGTACTCTGATCGTTTTTTTACAGCTGTGATACTTTTGACATTCAACACCTTTTGTCTTCAGTCACCGTGACCACACACGCTGTAAATCATGCGAAAAAAATTTAAAATTATGTAAAATAATTATAATTTACATACATAGCTTCAATCCGTTAAAAAAAGTGTTTTATTTAAATGTGTAAAAGTTATGTTAATAAAACACAATATGTACTAAGTTCTCTGGTCGTCCTTCACATAATCTCTTTTTCTTAAAAAATATCTATTAGATAGGAGATAATAGGCTTAGCCCTATTATCCTTATTTCTGTTATAATTTTAATAGTTACACAGAAACATTTATATAAAAACAACGTGTACTGTCAGATTTATCACCAAATAATTGGTTATAAATTGAGGTGTCAATTTCGTAAGCTATAAATCTAATTTGTATATTAATTCCACAAAGTGGAGGCCGTTTAATTTGTTGGAAATCGACCAAAAGCTAATGCTTACATAATATGAAGCAAGTATCGCTGTTTTTATGTGCAATACGTGAAATTATAAATATTCATTACGGGTTAAATCTGCTAAATATTAGGTAAATTCAGATGTGCTGTGAACTACGTATTGCTAAAGCGTAGGAAACGCGGTACAGATATGCGCAACGCAATGTCATGTCATACAGTGTTTGGTGGAGATATGAACGTAGTACAGTCAAAATCTGTTATAACGACATCGACTACTGATATTTGGTCGTAAAAAGCGATAGTCGTAACAGCCGATGACGTTGTTATTAAGAAGCTAATACAATAGAATTGAGCCGGGACGTGATTTTGGTCAATATAACCGGTATGTTATTGTGTCGTAAACGGTTTTGACTGTAGAGCTGGTGTTCTGTCCTGTGTTGTTGGATCGATTATATAGCCTTGATAAAAGGGTGTATCGAACATAACCATATTTATTTCACACCAATAGTTTTTGAGAGTAGCACTTTCACAGGAACGAGGCCAGAAGTGGCGGCTAAAATATGTTATGCATAATCAAATACAGTGGACCCCTGTAAGGCCCCTGTCTAAACCATCACCCCCTGCTATCCGACATGTATATTACCTGAGTGAAAATCTTTGCTAATATAAACACATGTACGAGCCACCACTATAGTCCTCGCGTATTGTTTTGATTCTGATAAGCTAAGCAAATTTGATAAAACAACGAAACGAACATCGTTCTAAAGCCATTTACGACAGTGAATACAAACTGCCATCCGTATCACCTCGACGTCCGTCGTTCCACAACTGGGCGTTTCTTAAGGCAATTATTGACACAACAGCTATTTGAAACCAGCTGCCCACTGAATTATTTCCGAACCAATTCCGAACAAAAGAACGTACCAATTCTTAGAAGGCCGGCGCATGCGAGCCTTCTGGCAGTGTACATGGGCGGCGGTATCACTTAACATCAGATGAGCCTCCTGCCCGTTTGCCTATGACATAAAAAAATATGTGTGTGTTCTTATGTACACGCGTTAGAAGTTATACTTCTTTGGCGTAATGGGATATAAATAGTTGTAGAAAAAACGACACTAACAAAAGAAAACCTAAAATGTTGACTATAGTTAACTTCAGGGTGTCGGTTTTCTGTGACGCGCATTGTAAAAATTTACTCTCATCGTTTTTCCCTAACGCAACAAAAGTAAAACTTCAAAAATATTGACAGTTTTGACCACTATTTCAATCAGTAAGCTGTGCTGACCTATCGAATGTACCTCTCAACCCTGAGGTCGTGTGATCGAATCTGTGCACTGGGTTTTTCTTTCTATGTGCTTTTTTATACTTGTAACGGAAAACATCGGAAGGCGCGCCTTAGACCTGGAAATTGAAGGCGCGTGTCGCGTACAGACGGATAAAGTACTCTGAGGCCAAGACTTAATGGTTTTCCCCATTGGTTTTTGGTGGAGCCCCACTATTTCGGTCATGAAAGTACCTCATAACCCCAAAAATAAATCATCTATGCATTATTATGCGCATTTCTCGTTTACCGTGACAGTCGGTGCCATCCACAGTACATCAGACCCATATTTCATACAGTTTATTTATTTTATTTTCGAATTGGGTCAAGGGTGTTTCGAGGTCTTTTTATGACTATTGAAAACTATGCCATACGAAATATTAACATGAGTGCGATATTAGTTAACAAATTCTAAAAAAATCAGTGGCGCTACCTTTTTTAAGTCTGGGCCTCAGAGTTCTGTATCAGTTACATGATCATTTTTCAATGTAATAGGCAAGTAGGTGATCAGCCTCCTGTGCCTGACACACGCCGTCGACTACTTGGGTCTAAGGCAAGCCGGTTTGCTCACGATGATTTCCTTCACCGTTCGAGCAAATGTTAAATGCAAACATACAAGGAAAGTCCATTGCACAGCCAGAAATCGAACCTTCGACCACAGGGATGAGATTCGCATGCTGAAGCCACTAGGCCAACACTGCTTTAATAATTTATAATGCCTTGAATTATGTTAAATTAAACAATACAGGTAAGAAATGTCTTTTTAACCAATTTCAAAAGGAGAGAGATCCTATAATTTTTGATATATTAGTCACGCACAGGAATAATGAAGTATTCCAATGTCGAAAGAAGAGAAGAGAATTTTCGAAATTAGCCCAGAAGTTTCTTCGACGTGACCTTGTGCAACACAAAATTAATACATATTTTATTAAGAGTTGAAAAAGATAAAAGAAATCTAATAATAAAATTAATTTACGATATAAAAACAATTTGAAGCGCACAGCGAAACGATGAGAAAACCAACAAGGCGACATTGCGATGTTTTTGCGACGTTAACGCTTG